ACCTGGTAGCCAGGCTCCTAGGGGACCCAGTTTATAGGATGTCTCCCAAAAGAGTTGGATGAGTTGAGGGTTCAGCCCAATTCCTCGCCCTACGGGCACCGGTCCTATTTGTACCTAAGAACGAAGGCGAGTTGCGCATGTGCATAGACTATAAAGGTCTTAATGCTGTCATTGTTAGGAATGTTGAGCCGCTACCCTGAATTGACGACTTGCTCGACAAGGTGCAAGGATGCAATTATTTCTCTTAGATTGACCTGAAATTGGGGTACCACCAGATAGAGGTAAAACCCGAAGATTAGCACAAGACGGTGTTTCGGACTAGATACGGCCACGATGAATTTGTGGTTATGCCGTTTCGACTAACCAACGCCCCTGCAACGTTCTAAAGGTGTATGAATGACAATTTAAAGTTTGGTTGGACAAGTACAACAGAGTCTCGTTAGGAGCACCAGGAGCATCTTCGTGAAGCTAAGCTCGAGTTGAATCCCAAAAAGTGTGAATGGGCAAAATGTAAGGTTTTGTAACTAGGCCACGTCGTAGATGAAGGCAACGTTATGAAAGGATGCAAAAATTACAAAAACTAGATTGCAACGTCACACAAATTGTTTTGGAAAGAGGCTCTTTGGAAGTGCCACAATGATTGCACGTCCGCTTTCAAGAAGTTGAAGTGCTTGATTGAGTATCAAATCCTTAAGATTGTTGATCCGTCGCATTCGTTTGTCGTGACCACGGATGCGAGCCAGTTCGGCATATGCGCAGTCCGACAACAGAATGATGCAATGGATATCGGCCTGTGGAGTCCATGTCGCATAGGCTTCTGTGAGAAGGATGTTGCATCAACCTACTAGCAGGAATTATTTACCTTGAGAGAGGTTTTAGCTCATTGGAGGAACTATTTGCGAGGATGGCATTTCAAGGTTTATTCTGATCATGAGACTATGCGTTGGTTGAAGACTGTCCGGCTGTGTCTTTTTAACGGGGAACGGGGGAATTAAACCCCCGTTGAATCCCGTTAAATTCGAAAAAATCCCGTTGAATTCGCGTTAAACGCTAAAATGGGCCCCGTCCAGCGGCCTAGCTCAGTTGATTAGGCACGCAAGTGGCATTCAGGAGGTTGTGGGTTCAATCCCCGCCTATGGCACTCTCGATGCCAACCAACTGAGATAGTCAACTGGATCCTCCCAGTCTGTATCAGTAAGGTCTTCAGCCAACACGGCTGGGAGGCACCCCCTTTCCCTACTATCCAACCTCAGTGTGACCAGCACTGAGGACTATCACCCTACCAGTACTGAGGGCAACTTGGACCACATAGCAGTGACAAGCACCAGGGTTGGGCCAACCTCCCAGCCCTGATAGAAGCGGAGGCGAACCAACCATGCTGTACGGGAACTTCGGACGCCAGACTCATGCAATCTGCTACAGGCCCAATTATGTGTGTGTGTGTGTCTTTTTTTCCTTTTTTTTATTTTCTTTTTATGGTTTTGATTTTTTTTAAAATACACGAAGTTCTAAAAAAAATAAATTGTTGTACATCTTTGAAAGATCTACAACCCTATATTTTTTACTTGTTTTTCTGTTTTTGTTTTAGCCCTTAAAAAATTTGTGTGAAATCCAAAAGAAAAACACTCATTTCATTTTAGTTTTTGTTTTTTTCATTGTGTGTTTATGTTTTTGATTTCTTAAAAATATATTTAAACATCAAAAATAAAATTAAAAATATAGGGTTGTATTCCTAAAAAAAACCTACAACCCCATTTTTTTTTTTTTTTGATAATTTTTAGCCCAGGAAAAAAATCATCGCGGACCCATTAATTCGTGTTCAACGCGCGTTTGAACGGGAGTTTAATGCGAATTCAATGCCCGTTGAATTTTTCAACGCGGAACCCTCGTTGAATTCAAAATCGGACACACAGCTGTCCGGATGTCTATGTTAGCGAGATGGGCCATCGAGATCGAAGACTCCGATTTTGAACTCAAGCCTGTGAAAAGTAAGTACAATGTGGTTGATGATGCGCTTAACGGACGTGCACATTTCTTTGGAACCATAGCCACCTATGTAGACGCAGGTGCTGAACTGCAGCAGAGGATTAAAGAAGCCTATGCAGGAGATAAAAGTCTATAGCAAAATTATTCGCAGGGTACCAGCAGCCTCAACCTAACTATAGGATAGCCAACGACCTGTTGTTTGAGAAGACTGATAGAGAGGACAGGCTATGCGTGCTGAACAGCGGAGAGAGCCCTAGTCTGATACTAGGGGAATGCCACGATTCAGAAGAACACTTTTGGTGGAGGAAGACATACCGTAACCTCCTTAGGTCCTACACGTGGACATGCATTAAACAGGACTGTGTTGTGTACTTTCAGGGCTGTAAAGTGTGTCAGTGGAACGAGAGTTCCACGGAGCTTCCCCTAGGACTGTTGAAACCGCTCCTTATACCATCAGGCCCAGGGGACTTAGTATTTATAGACTTCATGGACACTAAGGTTAAGAGTCGAAGTGATGGTTATAGTCGATAGGTGTAGTAAGTTTGATGTTGTCATTCCTTCGCTCACTAAGGCAAAAACAGATCCTGTTATTCGTAAGTTCTTTGATCATTGGGTTGCATAGTATGGACTGAAACGGTTTTCACCTCTTTGCAGTAGCAGATGCAGATCCCAGGGCTCGATCCCTAGACCTTCCCCCACATGTGTACAGTACCTGTGTAGGCCCCGAGAGTTGAACCTGTGACCTGTGTATTCGTAAACAGTTGGTAGGCTGTCACAGGTCCGTAAGTAGCAGGGGTTCGATCTGTAGATCTGTAGAATAAAAGTCTTAGCGAGTTCCAGAAGTCTTAGCTGTAGCCCTTCTAGAAGGTCAGCAAGTGGGCAAGTGGGCAAGTGGTGAGTCAAGTGGTGGACTAAATGCAGTGCAATTGCAGTACGATCTCGGTAGGTTAGCAGTGAGTCTCGATTCAGTCAGCGGTAAGGTCCAGTCAGTCCCAGTCCGGTCCAGCAAGTACCACAAGGGACTGTGAGCACCATGGGCCGATGGGAAAGGGCAAACCAACGAGTTTGAGAAGTATAAATCAAGAGGCAGCGCCCAACTTTTCATTCATTCCTGCGTGAGCCATGCGGAAGCGCTGCCACAGCGACTTGTGCAAGGAGGTCTGCAGAGAGCCCGGAGCTGAAGTGGGCGAGAGAGGAGCGTAGCCTAGCGATAGGATAGTT